TTATCTATAAATTTCAATATCATAAAATTCTACTACCTTTCAATAGTTAATAGTCACAAAAGAGGAAAAAGAAATCTTTCTAAAAAGTCTTTATCACCAAGTTTCAACTGTACTTCCAGAATATGTATATTTCTTAGTGAACTAATCATTCAGGCCATGAGAATGAGTCACTTGTCAAGCTCTATGTCATTCAGCTCTGGTCTGCCTCCTGAGCGAGCCCCAAAACTGGGATGGTCCACACAAGTGTACCCCTAGCTCTTTTCCTGGTTCTAAGTTACAGGTGAGAGCCTTTTGAAACAACATTTTGCACAGTTCAAAAGCACCACTGAAAATGTCATCTAGGAAAAAGGGCTACTACTTTACCTTTTCAACATTATCCATATTCATTGCCATGCAGTCTGAGTCAACTCACAGCTAATGTTCCATTGAGTTTTGGAGGCTGCAAATCACATGGGAGGAGACCACCCACCTTGGTAGCGCCCATGGAGCCACCAGTGGATTTCCACCCCAGAAAACTCACAGCAGTAGTAAGAGTTAGCAGCACAGCCTCCCAAGAAAGATGTTCCTGTGAAGAAACCAGCGGGCCCTGCTACCTCAAAGCCCGTTGTGAAGCCAGCATTCGGAACCCTTTCAGCCAAGGCCAAAGCTGAGCCAGCTGCTCTCCTGCTCCTGAAAAACCCCAGGACCACCACCGCCCCCCCCCCACATCGATCTCTCCAAAGTGGTGATGGAATTTAACAAGGACCAACTGGAGGAGTTCAAGGAAGCCTTTGAGCTGTTTGACCGAGTAGGTGATGGCATGATCCTGTACAGTCAGTGTGGGGATGTGATGAGGTCCCTGGGCCAGAACTCCACCAACCCCCAAGTGCTTCAAGCCCTGGGAACCCCAAGAGTGATGAGTTAAAGTCCCGGCAAGTGGCCTTTGAGACTTTCCTTCCCATGATTTAAGCAGTGGCCAAGAACCGGGACCAAGGCACATATGAGGACTACTTGGAAGGCTTCGGGTGTTAGACAAGGAGGGAAACGGCAAAGTCACGGAAGCAAAGCTCAGATATGTCCTCACCATGCTGGGAGAGAAGATGACTGAGGAGGAGGTGGAGCCTGTCCTGGCAGGACATGAGGACAGCAATGGCTGTATTAACTATGAAGCCTTCCTGAAAAACATCCTAAGCTCTGAACATTGCAGATCCCCTGGGGCTGGAGAGTGGCCCCTTCCACCACCACGCCACCCCACCCTACCCCACCCAGTGCAGGTGGAAGCACCCTCCGGCTACTTAGGAGGCAACCTATTGTTTCAAAATAAAGAGGCCACAGAGCTCTCTCTGCAATGTGAAGGCTTAATTTATTTAGTCCGTCCCATTGCTGAGATAGGCTGGACTATAGGATAAATGAATCACCAAGCAATCTCTACATCACATTTATAGAGAAAACAACTAAAACCTCTCATCCTAAACAATACAAAGGAGAAAGAATAGGTATTTCCCCCCCCCCTTTTTTTTTTTAACCAACTGTTGTTTTATGTACCACTGCATCAGAACAGACTCATAGCCGGCTCTCCAGCAGATTTTCAGAGGCTGTAAATCGCAGGAGACTGCCCACAACTAGTGGACTTGAACCACGTGCCTTTGAGTTAGCAGCACAACTCCTTACCACTAGACCCTCAGATCTCCTATTTTCTCAACTAGTATTGGCGTATGCTATTTACTGTTTTTTTAATCTGCCTACAAAATTGTTACCTATATTAATTATTATAAACATAACTACTGACCCTGTGGGGGCTCCAAATGTGCAAGGATTGAGTCATTTATTCTTTGATTTACACTCAAGGCTCAGTACAATATTTGACATGTAATATTCAATAAATATATGCTATAGTTAATATTCAAACAGATAAGGAAGAAAACAGAAGTGACCTATAATCCTGCGGCTCAGAGGAAACTACTGTCAACATCTTGGCGAAATTTTTTTCAGTCTTTTTTTTTCTCTGTGCATACTTAAAATTCCTGGGTTCTC